AAGATCTGTAAAAAAAGTATTCAAGGTCAAAGGTCACATAAATTGATATTTACAATTTTTCAGCTAAACCGTAAGGTTTATCATAAAAATAGGTTAAACAAAAGTGTAGATGATGCAATTATCTCTAAAAACCGTTATGACACTTTTGTCCCTAAAAGTCACCATTTCTGGGATATAACGACTCGTTCCACATCCATTTTGTAATAATTCATTTAACTTATGAGGCATTTCATGTCTGTGCGCGGCCTCTAAAGATTTGGATGAAATTTGAAGAGATTGAAGGTCTCGGTGACATGAATATACGTGCAGCATATTTTGCCGATATGACGTAGGGCTGCCTATTTACATGGGACTTAAATTTTAAGAAAACGTCATACATACCTTTCTGGAAAGTGATGTATCTTGGAAACCTTTTAACGAAACTTAATGAAAAAAAAAATGTATTTCTTCCGTCTAATTATGGGCTTTAATTATAAATTTTTTACATTAATGTGCAACGTATAAAAAAATAAAAAATTAAGTAAACATTTTATTTTTTTTCGATTATAGCATTTTATTTTTATTTTTTTATTTTACATAAAAACATTATCTATAATGTCAACTTTAAGTACCCAAATGGGCGTAATGGGCTAAGAAAGCGTATGGACTCTAGATCATCTAACGCTCGAGCAATATTTATTTATTTATATTTATTTCAGTCAATGAATACATGGTTTCTTACTGACTACGCTTAAAAATACAACTTCAACTAATCAACTAATTAATGAATTAAAGTAATTCGAGACTATGTTATTTAAAACGACTCCAGGAAGTGACAGATCTATTTCCACCGTTTGGTTTATTTGACTGATTTCCCTGAGGGCTAATAGGTGCATTCAAAACATAATTCGACTTTGCGGATTGCACGTAAAATAAGTCAGAGCGCCGCAAATTTCTTACAGGAATTCTGAGCGGTATTCTTCGCAAATTTCTGAGCAATCGACAATATTAGTTATAACATTCNAAGTCGGTCTGTAATTCGAAACATCACTTTTATTTCCATTTTTGAAAATAGGTGTAATATAAGCACTTTTCCAATCTGCTAAAAATGTACCCGTAGAGAGCGATAAATTAAAGATCAAAAGTAGAGGCTTCTTGCAGAGCAGTTCTTGAAGAGAATAGGAGATAGGCCACCTACATCAGTCTGAGGGGATGATTTTAAACTCGAAATACCCTTCAGCACATCATCCTCGGTTAGCAACAGTGAGCCAAAAGATACGTGTGAGTCAGAAAGTGTAGGATTAATAGGATCCGTATCATCATCACTAACGAAATTTGCACTAAAAAAGTCCGCAAATAGGTCAGATGAGACTTGGGCCGAATTAGCATGCTTATTTTTATAAAACATCGAGGTAGGAATGTTGGATTTATTTTTCTTTGATTTAATAAACGACCAAAAGGCCTTAGGGATGGTCTTTATATTGCTTTCGAAGTTCCTGATATATTTCTTACGAAGCGACTTATCAAGTTTTTTAAACTCTGACAAACAGGATTTGTATCTTTCATAGTGTGAACTATTTTGGGACACTTTGAATTTTTTGTAAAGCCTGTTACAAAGGTTTTTTAAATACTTCAGTTGTTTGGTGTACCAAGGCAACTTATATCTCCTTTCAGAAAAAAATGGAACATGATTCACACAATACTCATGGACCTTAGTTTTAAAAAGTTCAAAACTATGGGCTACATCAACGTTAGCAAAAAGACAGTCCCAATCAAGCTCAAGCAGCTGGTTGTTAAGGATCTCAAAGTTACAAAGATTAAAATAAAATTTTACATTATCACTTTCGGAATAGGCATTTAAAAATTCATAGAACTCAAAATCTAATACTAATGGAAGATGATGAGAGTTAGCGGGGGAAATAGGCGAGCAACATTCCAAGAGCGTAAAATTTAGATCACTCGATAAGAAAATTAAATCTAAGATCCGAGCATACTTATTAAGATAACTATTAACTTGACGCAAGTCAAAGCTATCAACTAGGTATAACTCAAAAGCCTGGTTAACATTAGACGGAGTTAAAAAGCCTGAATCCTCTAAATATGACCAAGAGATACCGCCTAAATTAAAATCCCCCAGCACGCATAACTGCTTATCCGCGATCACTGAATCAAACGCTGCGAAGTTGTCTACATGTAAATTGTATAATGATTCATGACTATTGGGAGAAATGTAGGAGACGCAAATATGCAGTTCCCCGGACGAACCAAATAGTCGTATGCATAGTTGGTCCAATAAGGAATCATTCTTTTCACATCCCAAATAGAAAAATTCATTACACTTAGCGCACTGAATTTTTTTTTCTCGGACCGCTCTACTTTCTGGCCACAAACACACGGCATTATCGCACCGTATGATTGAAAATCAATAAGTCACTATCTCAATAATTTAAAAAGCGAAATGAACACAAAACACTAAGAAATCAAGCAACACGCAGAGCAAATAAAATACACGTCCGCTCAGCATGGCATGATATGATAAATAGACATTGAAATTTTATGAAATTGTATATTTTTGAAAGAGGAAAGGTGTGTAAAAAACAAAAACAATATTAATAAATCATATTAGCTTTATTAAAGTTCTGAAAACACGAAAATATCTTCAAGGAAATGGCAGAAGGGAACTTTGTTGCAAGTTCACATGGATTATCTGCTTGGGACGGGATTGGAGGAAATTTCAAGTGACTAGCAGCTGGAGCAAGTCTTTATCTCCTGACGGTACAACAAATTCGTGCACCCGAAGCCGTCTACCAATGGGGTAAGAATAATTTAGAGAAAAAGAAAGTGCTGCATGTTTCCACTGGGTTGTCCGTAAAAAATAACTGCAACTAACTTTACAGTGGACTTTATTTCGACTATTACTACGTGCCAATTACTTTAATCCTATATTAAGCTAGTTTAAAAGGTTAAATAGCATCAAGTTAGGGAACTTCATATCCTTCTTAAACGAATCTTCAAATAATAGTTTTTGTAATAAAAGCGTGTTGGTTTTTTTAACAATAATTTTATTATTCATTAGGCTTATTTTTTGTACACACCTTTCCTTTTTCTTGTTTTAATAAAAGGACTAACCTTGAAGCTATCATTGGAGGTCGAATATTATTTTGCAATGAGGGTTGTTGATGGTTCGAGTATAAAGGCATAGAATTTGTGCGTTCCTGGAATATTTTGTGTCTTTGCGAATCTATCTTGAAGCTTTTGCTTAACTTCATTGTAGTCACTCTTGGACGCATACAGCACCTTGGATTTCTCTAAATTATTCTTACCCCAATGGTAGAGGGCCTCGGGTGTACGAATTTGTTGTAACGTCAGGAGATATTGACTAGCTTTAGCTGCTAGTCACTTAAAATATCCTACAATTTCTTCCAACGCCACAAAAACTTATTTAGTAGCTCCATTGGTTTCCGAGAAAGTCGCAAAAATATGTTTTTCAGCTAACTTAGCGCTGTTAAGCTAGCTGGCCAATCATTAAATGTTTGTTTTCAATTTTCGAAATACATATATGCAGGAGTTAGGTGTAATTTAGGTGTTCTTCAACGCCACCAAATCTTATTTAGGAGCTCCATTGGTTTCCGAGAAATTCGGAAAAATGTGTTGGTCAGTTTGGTTTACGTAAACCTTGCTGACCAATATTTAAATTTTGGTTCTAAATTTTCCAAATATATGCTGGAATTAGGTGTCTTTTAGGTGTTCTTTAACGCCACAAAAACTAATTTAGTAGAACCAGTGGTTTCCGAGAAATTCGCAAAAATTTGTTTTTCAGCTAACTTAGCGCTGTTAACCTAGCCGACCAATCTTACAATTTTTGTTTTAAATTTTCGAAATACATATATGCATTGGTTTCCGAGAAATTTGCAAAAATGTGTTGGTCAGTTAGCTTAGCGCTGTTAACCTAGCTGACAAATTATTAAATTTTTGTTTTCCATTTTCGAAATACATATATGCAGGAACTAGGTGTCTTTTATGTGTTCTTCAACGCCACGAAATGTTATTTAGCAGCTCCATTGGTTTCCGAGAAATTCGCAAAAATGTGTTGGTCAGCTTGGTTTCGGTTTGTTTTTGCTGGCTGGGTTAATATCTGCCATCTTATTTAAAGACCAAATATATTGAGATCACATAAATAGCTGTACATACAAGTGTATATAGTATGTATGTATGTCAACCCATTAAAGTACATGCATACTTATGTATATCGCGTCCTAACGACGAATTCTTCCCAACCCCCCCCCCCCCCCCCCCCCCCCCCCCCCCCCCCCCCCCCCCCCCCCCCCCCCCCCCCCCCCCCCCCCCCCCCCCCCCCCCCCCCCCCCCCNCCCCCCCCCCCCTCCCCCCCCCTTTGGATACAGAAGCGCTTCTAAAGCCTGTAAATGCATATCTGCATCAAAAGGAAAATTAAAAAAATAATGTAGGTTAATATTTTGTGGCGGTTAGGGCTCGTAAAGAATTAAAAAGCTAGAGCGGAGCGAAAATAAAATTATAGTTTAAAAAAATAAAACCTCCCTATTATAATTGCCATTCGTACTGTCATCAGGTATGTAACTTGGGAATAGAAATCGCTGCATCTTTTAGGCGCACCAATATTACATAGTTACATCCCGAGTTAATAAAAGAGGTAAAAAACCCTTTGCCCCGAAGCCCTGTTCAGCACGCATATTACTTAAATGAAAAGAAATAACTCAAAAAAAAAATTAGCCGTTAGCGGGCGCGGTTAAGGCTTGTCTTTTAAAAAAAATTGGTTGTTGAGGTAAGTCTGGCAACTCCTCCGCATGCAATGTAAACTTAAAATCAGGCAACACTGCATACATTGACTTATTATCGATTCTTTCTTTACCTTTTCTTTCTTCATCTCCAAATGTCAGACAATACATTATTGAACTTCTATTAATATTTGCATTCTGCCACGTGAGGACTTAGGTAAGATGAACTTTGTAAATTTTGAATTTGTATTATATTTTTATATTTAGGAATTTTTGAACGTACTCTGGAATAAATTGGATTAATTTTAACAGCGTGTTTTATTGAGAGTGGTTGCCTAAAATTACGGTTCCTCCGTAACATCCTCAAAAATTCTTTACTTCGCTATCGTCGAGGGAACTGAAGGACGTACAATGGTGAATGATAAAGAGACTCAAAGCTCCTCTAAAATGCGGCGCAGCTGCCTCATGTGCAATGATGAAACGACGATAGAATGATTAAGTGCTCCGTATGCATTTCATTCCAACATTGCGTCGACGTACCCACAGAAACCGATCAACGCATATGGCGCTGCCAGGATTGCTATGAGCTTGCTGAAAGTGGTATGGACGTATCGCAATTCGCTCCCAGAACTGCAAGCGAATCACCGCATGTAGCGATTACTACGAATCATGCATGTAATGGGCCCGCTGAAAATGCCAGTCAGCCCATAGTAACTCATAACCTCAAAAACGCAACACATGTGGTCGCCACCACACTAGGCGATATTCAATCGGCAGTGGCGCACGAGCATGGTGGCGCGACTGCCGAAGTTTCTAGCGTACATGTGCAACAAATTAGTTCCCAGTGTGTGCAACCGACTTCTGCGGCTGCTGAAGCCCCTACAGCACGCGGGCGCTACTTACAACAACGATTGCAACTTCTTGAAGAGGAGTTGCGCCTAGTACAGAAACGACAACAACTGCTAGTACAATTAGAGAAAGAAGGGATGTTCGAGAACAATGCTGAGGCTCAGGTAACAGGTAATAGACCCGGTCCCAGTAGAACGCATAATCGTCTACCTATATGTGGTGCAGCTGATGGTGCTGTTAGGGTTGACAATCAGTCCCATGGTCCAATGTCACAATTTGCAGGTTTTTCCTTTCTTCCTTGTGCTGACAACACTGTCGAAAATGGCACTTATACAACTGTAAGACTTACAAACGAACAAATAGCATCTCGCAAAGGTTTGTGTAAGGAACTCCAAAGTTTACCGGTAAGCCTGAAGAGTGGCCACTCTTCAAGGCATCATACGACCAATCAACGCAACTATGTGGATTCTCCGATGCTGAGAATCTGCTAAGACTGCGACAAGCAGTTGAGGGTCACGCACGCAATGCGGTGAAACATTTAATATTGCACGCTTCATGCGTACCACAAATTATATCCACTTTGCAAATGAAAATCGGTCGACCCGAATTAATTATAGACGTTTTGCTAGCCCAGATTCGGGATTTACCACCTCCCGAAGAAAGCAAGCTGGAATCAATTGTTGATTTCGCTATAGAAGTGCAAAATATTTGCGCCACGATGAAGGCATCGTCATTGACCAATCACCTCAATAATACTGAGTTGGAGCAGGAGTTGGTTTGTAAGTTACCGGGACTGCTACCCGCCCTTTGGGGTATGCAAAAACTATCCTCCTCGACCTGCAATCTAGAGGATTTTAGTAATTGGCTGAAGGGGCGAATGCAGTCATTATACCTAGTACTGCCACAAAACAACCCAAGCGTGGGTCTTTAAATACACATTTAGATTGCGAGCATGGCACAGCAGCTCATTGCTTGGTTTGGGGTTCGACTTGTGAAGCAATTCATGTGAGCAACAAATTCAAACAGCTTAGCCGTTCAGAAAATGTCTTAAAAGATTAAAATTAATTAAAATTTTTATAAATCAGTTTTTATACAAACATATGTATGTATTTGGGTATTTAGATTTTACTTAAAAATCGGTATGTACATACGTGCATATTTAATTAAGCTTAAAATTGTACTTCCTCACTCATGTACTTCACTTCATTGACTGACTTCAACTTCGCTGCAAATTGAACAAAGCAAAACATGATTTTTATGCGAGACAAATTTCCATAGAAACTAACGGTAGAAAAAGATTTTTTTGATATTCATTCTATTTTTCAACTGACTAGGATGCAGCATTCTACTTTGCATTCCCCGAAATGAAGCAAAGAAGCGAAATAAGCAAAAAATATTGTAGGACATTCTACTTTGCATTCCCTGAAATGAAGCAAAGAAGCGAAATAAAAAAAATATTGTAGGACATTCTACTTTGCATTCCCCAAAATGAAACAAAGAAGCGAAATAAATAAAATATTGTAGGACATTCTACTTTGCATTACCGACAATGCCTAAAAGAAGCGAAAAAATTCGAAGGCATTACAACGCTATGCCTTCTAGAACACGTTACCACTAAAAGCGATTACCGATTTTTTGCTGGGAAGTGGATGATCGTTAGGGATCATTCTTTGTGCAAGCGTTGCCTTAAGTCTCATTCCTTTGAGCAATGTACATCAAAAAATACATGTGGAATAAACAATTGCCCTGCGCACACCATCCACTGCTGCACAAAATTTATATTTCGAAGCTAAAATATAACATCCACAGTTCCACAGCCGCAACCAGCGCCCGTTGATGCAACATGCAACGCACATACCCAAGAAACCAATGTCGCCATATTTCGGATTCTACCCGTCACTTTATACGGCAATGGAGTACAAATTGATACGTACGCCTCTTTTGACGATGGATCTTCGCTCACACTAATGGATGAAGAACTTCAAAGGGCGCTTAACGTGGAAGGGGTTCCACAACCCCTTTGTCTAAAGTGGACAGGGGATACTCATCGCAATGAAGATGACTCGGTTCGAGTCAATCTCGAAATATCACCAATTCGCCGCGTAAAACGGTTCGATTTGAAAAACGTTCATACTGTAAAAAATTTGCGGTTGCCTCCGCAGACGTAGCAAAGTTGAAAGCAGCATATAGACATTTAAGAGGCGTGCCATTGTCGTCATATAGCCATGACGTGCCTAGACTTTTAATTGGCATCGACAATAGCAGACTGGGGTCCTGTTTAAAATCTAAAGAGGGATTCAGCTCTGATCCAATTGCTGAGAAAACCCGCCTTGGGTGGACGCTTAAAGGCACAATAACAGACCGTGCTCACAGTAAATCGAGATCAATTCGACGTGTGTTTCACGTTTGTGAGTGGAACGCTACATATAACGAAGAGCTCTTTAAGACAGTAAAGGATTTCATTTTGTTGGACAACGTTGACGTTGCCGCAGTTCCGAAAGCTCTCAGCGATGAGGATCAAGTTGCTGTAAGTCAACAAACAAACTTGCTATGGCGGTGTGAGAGACCTTCTCTGCCTGACAGCTACCCATCAGCTTTACGAAGAGCCACTGTTTGCGTCGCAAAATGTCAAAGGACCCTGAGCTTGCAGACTCACTTCAAGAGAAAATAAAACTATGTGAGAAAGGGATACACAAGAAGGTTGCGTGAGGACGAAAAGGAAATTGATTACGGTTGGTACCTTCCCATTTTTGTAGTGAAGAATCCTAATAAGCCCGGCAAAATAAGGATAGTGTGGGATGCGGCCGCGCAAATTAAAACCGTTTCATTAAATTCTATGCTACTCAAAGGGCCTGACCAGCTGAGTTCACTTCTTTCGATATTACGCAGATTCCGGCAAATCTTATCGCTACTGGTGGAGATATTGCCAAAATGTTCCACCAAGTGCGTATGCGAGTACGCGATCAACATTTTCAGCGATTTCTTTGGTTTGAAGAAGGCGCCACCATACCCGATACTTACATAGTGCAAGTTATGTCCTTTGGCGCTAGCTGCTCGCCCAGCTGTGCGCAGTTCGTTAAAAACATAAATGCAAAGGGCTTTGAAAGTGAATGGCCTAGGGCCACGAAAAGCATAATCGACAACCACTATGTAGACGATATACTTGACTCTGTCGACACCGAAGCAGAAGCAATACAGCTTGCACGTGATGTTCATCGCATTCATTCCCACGCGGGCTTCGATATCCGAAACTGGGTGTCAAACTCTGACGCCGTACTTCAAGAGTTAGGAGCCACTCCCACAACATCGCTGAAACTCGACGGTGCACATGGTTTAGGAGTCGAGAAGGTATTAGGAATGTTTTGGCATACAAACGAAGATTGTTTTACATTCGGCGTATCGCAAAAACTCAGAAACCGTGATTTCATTTCCGGAGAAAGAAAACCAACTAAACGCGAAATGCTCAGCGTGGTTATGGCTATTTTCGACCCTCTGGGTCTGATTGCCCACTACGTCATATATGCTAAGATCATCCTGCAGGAAATTTGGCGAAGCGGTTGCTCATGGGCCGATCCAGTACACGACGAGCAGTACACAAAGTGGTTGCGCTGGGTCCGAATGTTGCCAGAGGTGGAAAACATACATTCCTAGATGCAAGTAAGAATAGCTATGCAGCGAGTAGCTACCTCCTCAAAACTCGTGTATCTCCGCTAAAGCCAATGTCCATCCGTCGTCTGGAATTACAAGCCGCATTAATTGGTGCACGCTTGGCAGTTGGCATTGTTAAATCGCTAACAATTCCCATTGCCTCTCACACGTTTTCGACTGATCAGCGAACAGTGCTATCCTGGCTGCGGTCGCATCAGCGACGCTATCGCCAATTTGTCGCCTGTCCCATAAATGAGATTCTTGAGCTCACTGATGTCGCCCTATGGAGATGGGTACCTACCGCCGAAAATGTGGCCGACGATGCAACAAAGTGGTCCTAATCTCCCGACTTATCCAATCATAGCCGCTGGTTGAATGGACCACCATTTTTACAAGAAAACAAATCTAGTTGGCCCTTTGAACGTGAAATGAACCGCTCAACAAACGAAGAACTGCGTTCGCAGTATGTCGGACACCATTTCGCCTCACGGTCCGTTGCTCAACTTCACACTGACTTCAGCCGATTTTCACGATATAGTAAACTACGACGTGTCATCGCAGCCGTGATCAGCATTGGCAATTACTGGATATCCGTTGTTAAAGACCATAAACAAAAGCGATCGCCTATCAGCAGTGAGGATTTAAAAAAATCGAAATATTGATAATTTCCATTGTACAGCAGCAAAACTTAAACGATGAAGTAGCGGCTTTGAAAGAAGGAAAGGTAATTAAAAAATCAAGTTCAATTTTCAGCCTCACCCCTGTTATTGATGGCGCTGGACTGATTCGCTTGGGTGGCCGAGTCAGATGTGCCTACTACGAAGACCCCATAATTATGACGAAAAACCACTGTGTCACTTATCTTATTGTGAACGAATATCATTTGCTTTACCACCATACCAATTCGGAGACAGTTGTAAATGAGCTACGCCAAACATTTTGGATACCAAGTCTTCGTGTAGTGGTAAACAAAGTCAGACGAGCATGCCAACTCTGCCGAAACCGCTCTGCTCACGCCCAAGCAACTAGGATGAGCCCACTGCCTGACGCTAGACTTGCTGCTTACTGCCGCCCCTTTTCGTATGTGAGTGTCGATTATTTTGGTCCGATGATGGTGGCCGTGCGTAGAAGCCGTGAGAAACGCTACGGTGTATTGTTTACCTGGCTTACGATACGCGCTGTACACCTGCAGCTGGTGTCTTCGCTTTCAACAGATTCTTGCATCATCGCCGTACGAAACTTTACAGCTAGTCATAGTGTCCCTATTGAAATGTGGAGCGATAATGAGACGAACTTCCGGGGCGCTGAACTTGAACTGAAAGAGGCCCTAAAAGCAGTAGACCAAGACAAAATAATCGCAACTTTCACAACCGTTGATACTATTTGGAAGTTTATTCCTCCCTCTTCACCACACATGGGAGGGGTATGGGAGCGACTAGTACGCTCCGTAAAGCGTGTGTTATATCAAATTCCCCCTTCTTGTACACCTTCAAAAGAGGTATTGCGTGCAGCGTTGCTTGAAGTGGAGATGTGCGTCAACTCTGGGCCCCTTTCCTACATCCCGGTGGACCCGGATGTAGAGGAAGCTTTAACGCCGAATCATTTCATACTAGGCAATTCATCTGCCGCCAAACCTTTGGGAAAAGAAGGCATCGGGGGGAGTGGAGAGGAGTGTAGAGGTAAGTCTGGAAACTCCTCTGCCTGCAATGTAAACTTAAAATCAGGCAAGACTGCATACATTTACTTATTATCGATTCTTTCTTTACCTTTTCTTTCTTCATCTCCGAATGTCAGACAATACATTATTGAACTTTCTTTAATATTTGCATTCTTCCACGTGAGGACTTAGGTAATATGAACTTTGTAAATTTTCAATTTGTATTATATTTTTATATTTAGGAATTTTTGAACCTACTCTGGAAAAATTGGATTAATTTGACCTGCGTTTTTTATTGAGAGTGGTTGCCTAGAATTACGGTTCCTCCGTAACATTGATTTTAAATGTCTTGTTTTTAGTTTATTTACAGGCCTGGTTCAAATTACCTTTTAAGATAAATATTAAGATCTGATTTTAGGATACTTAATCGAAAATTGAATTCTATACAAATATAATATACTCACTGCCAAATCCGGTTTCTATATTGATAATTGAATTTGGGGTTTGGTAAGTTATATTATTGGGCATCAAAGTTTCTCCTTGCCCAATTGCAAGTAAACGCTGTTTTTCTCTGGTATTATGTGGTTTCCTTACACGTTTTTTGCCTCCTGCTATATTAATGTTGCTGTTTGCCCCATCTTGACGAGGCCGATTTAACTTTTTTCCTTTGTCATGCATAACTCTCTCTGTATCCTTTAGCATCTCTTGTCGCCATAACTCAAAAAAGTAATTGGGATCCGTATAGAACTTAAGGCCATCTTTACCATCGTCGCGATAATTATTCAATTTATTTAATGGTGGAGGTTTGTCACACATCGTATATGTCTCTAACATGGGAGCCGGCATTGTGGAATGAGAAAAAATTTTTTGATCAAACGTTTTGGTTGAGCGGAACCCTTTTTTTCTTGTTATATCAGTCAACGGCACATCCTCTATAGTGCTATCTAATTGAGTTACTTTTATTGACAAATGGTCTATTCGCGCCTGCAGAGAGTTGGCTCGGCTGCTAATATTTCCCACATCTCGAGCAAGCTCACCAAAAATATCTTCTGCATGCTTTGATAATGACGACAACTGCCGAATAATATTTGTAAGTGATGTATTTGTCACAGTTTCCAGTTCAATGATTTGAGGCTCATCTTGATGGTAAGCGGATCGTGAGACATGGACTGGTACGATTGAACGCTTTGGAAGTGGCATTTTTATCGTATTTTAAATATTTACTGAAATAGTTAATAAAAATTACAATAAAATATCCTTTCTATGTAAAAAAAATACAATTAAAAAAGTTAGAACTAAACAATAGATCTGATCCAGTACTCCATGAACTTGTAGGTTTTTACACGAACTTGCAGGAAGTTACAGGAAAAATGTAACTTCAAATTCCTCCAAAATCCGGTAAATGAGAGCGTTTTTGGAGAGTTGTGTAGATAATGAAGTTGCGAGATTTTACCCGAACTTTTTCTTCTAGTAAAATCAAGAACAGTTTCAAGCGATCACTGGTTGACGTTTTTACAGGAAAAATGCTTTTTTTGTTCCCGTAATTTTTGTTGTTACTCACTTTTTACTCGCACTTCAGAGAGTAATTTTGCTGTTTGTTATTTTTACAGGATTTTACACGAAAAGTATTGGATCAGAGCTAATTAATTTCACATGAATAATAATAATAATAATAATAATCATAATAATAATCATAATAATAATAATACTCATAATAATAATAATAATCATATGTTTTTTGTTATTTTTTGGCCATTTAACAATTATATTCAACAATTTTATAATGAGCTCGAGGCCATTTTTAAATGAAAAATTTATTGTGGAAAAGCATCAACAATTTGAAAAAATGGTAGAAGTGATAGCTATTTCGGAAATCACCACATTTCCTCATCAGACTTCTTTCAGTAGGATTCGAACCGACGATCCCACTGACTCAGCCAGTTGCC